TGAGTAGTGTATATATGAAATGACTCGGGAAGACATCCCCAACAACATATTTAAAAATAAAACAAATCGGAGAGGAAGTCGCTTTTATGCATAATTACCGATATTTCTAATCGAAAAATCCGATAAAAGAGTAACAAACGGATATTTCCGATTAGTCTTCAACGGTTTTTTTTCCAATCACGTTTATCGGAAATATCCGTTTGTTACTCTTTCATCGGATTTTCCGATTAGATTAGGCCCGGATTTTTCTCTCAGTGTGAGATTTTGTAAGTAATATCATTTAGTGTCGTTTCTATAGTATTAAACATAATATATTTTTAGTATTATACATAACATATGTACAGGGTGTTTACCGGGAACCGCATGTTTTTGTATTGGGTAGTACACGGCAAGTAGTGGGGGGATGGCGGTTGGGAAGGTCCTATTGTGTAGAGGGGAGTTGGAAGTTTCAGTTACACTCAAAATGTGGGACCTTGAGCACCGCACTTTTGTTATGAGACGGTTTTACGCTAACGGTGAGTCCGTGACCCAAACCCAACGAGGCTTTCGCCGGCACTTCAATGTTCCGCCGCGTGGGCCGATTCCGGATCGTAACACAATTTTGAGGTGGATGCAAAAACCACGCACATTACCAGAGTTGAAGGAAGCCATCCGAAGAGAAATCCAAGCCATTCCACGAGAAATGTTACAAGATTCAATGCGTAACTTCAGGGAACGTCTGGAAACATGTGTTCAATCGGAAGGGCACCATCTACGCGATGTTATTTTTGCTACTTAATTTTTTGTAAGATTGTCTTAAAATTCCGAGTTGGTAGAACACATTGTTTAAAAAAAATACATTTTGGTTCAAAATTTAAAAAATTGTGGCTTTTTTAAAACCATGCGATTCCCGGTAAACACCCTGTATATGTTTTTATGTTGCAGATGTCTTATTTGTTTAAAGTTTGGTCGGCCAGTAGAAAACAAGAAATCTCATTAGTAATCAATCAATCTGACAACATGTTATCTGAACTTATTACCAAAAGTAATAACAAGCTTGGTATTAATGGTTCTATTCTTGTCATGGAGAAGGATGGTACAATTGTCGACGATAATGATGTTTTAAAGTTTTGTTCTGGCGAAATTTTTATGTTATTGCAAGCAGAAGAAGTTTGGCCATCTCAAAATGAAACGGAATTTATACATTGTGAGATGTGGATACCAAATCCCCTCTCCCGATAGTAAGGAAGGCGGGGAGGACCGCAAGTGCACAGGTCCCGATGATCCACGTGGCAAGATCGAAGAAACGATCCAGCGGATCGCTCTCTTTCGTTCTCACGGCCGGCCGAGTAGGATCTACTTTCCTGAGATTCGGACACATGGTATCCTCCAGAAGTAGGGGACACGCGCTTGCTCTGTGCGAAGACGTACCCGACGAGGGACTGGAAAAGATCCGGGTTATAATCTTATATGACTCCGAAGAAGCGAGAAATATAATGCACGACAGCGGCCGTTGGGAGCAGGAGAAAGAGCCACCGAGGAAGAAGCGAAGAAGCCAATAGATGAGTACACTTGGACTCCCTCCATTCACTGAATAATCCTTGGTTACGAACACGCGTGAATGTTAATCTTATTATATTAAAAACGAGATTAGTCCGTAGATTAGAGATTGCGAGCGATTATATTGTTGTAAATCTATTGACCATTTAGTCCGTAGGTGTTCCGGAACCGCGTAGCTAAATGATGAGATTTTTCTTTTAATATTCTTTATATATTCGAATCTTCTAACATTTTTCCTAAATTAAATTATATGACGAGTTTGTGAGTTATACTCTTAAAAGAATTCGTGTTCTTCCAGACGAGTCTCGCGCGTTAAGACAACCCGAGCGAGCGGACAAACAAAGTTCTGTAGCGGGATTGTGTATCTTGTAATAAATGTAAACGTCTCGACATATTTGAAAGTCAACGATCGGCTAGCCTCTTATTCTGAAATCCATGTCCTTCTAAAGGTTGTAGTGGACCGAAGTCTTGGGCAGAACATTGATCCCAGATAACGTCTACTTACAAATTGGCGCCCAACGTGGGGCACGAAGCATAGTTTCGTGAACCTGAAATTAAATGAGAAGGATGGTGTAGGAATGGGAGGCTAATGTATGGCAGGAGTGAATGATAACGTATATGTGACACGAACGGGTAGAAAACCTAAGCAAAAATACAGAAATTATAAATTCACAGAATCAAAGCATAGAGCCGACCAGATGCCGTTGGCGCCAAGGGATTTACAGGACGATATAAATCTGAGCGAAATGGAAGGCGACGGGGAGGACCTGAATCGAGTACGGGAGGAGCTGGAACGAACTCGTGCGGAGCTCGAAAAATACCGATCCGACGAAAGGTCACGGATCGAACGAGATAGGGAAAACTGTATCAACAATGAAGGTCAGATGTGTAGTGTTGCGGGGTTTGAGACGATTATAGCGAATCTTAACGGAAATAATATTGAAATAAAATTGCCTACCTTTAGAGACGAAATTTCCTCGAATCCAGTAGAATTCTTAGAGCGGGTGGAAAAATTTTTTAAAGCCAAGCACGTTACCGAAGATAGGAAGATGTTAATAATAGAACAGGCGTTAGAGGGTCGAGCGAGTATATGGTTGGAGTTGCATGGAGAATTCGAAACTTTTAACAAGACAGACTTCCTGGAGGAATTCTACTCGGTACCGGCCAGGGTACAGTTTAAAAACGCGTGGGCAAATAGGAAATTTAACGAAAGTCTCGGGTCATTGCAAATGTATTTCTACAGTCAAAAAAAAGAAGCTCAATATTTCATGCTTACACTACCGGAATACGAAGTGAATTACCAAATCATGCAACAATATCCGTTGTGGGTGAGGGAAGCGTTGGCCACCGTGGACCAAAATAAAAATAATTTAATCACACAGACTTTGGCTAGCCTTGACGGATTATGGGGGGAGAGAGAGCGCGAAAGACAAGATCAACGATATAATAATCCAAGAATCCGACAAATAGATACGAATGATAGGGGGGCAAGATACGACGATCGAAGCAGATACTGGGGGCGGAATGATCGTGATCGATTTACCTCGCGGAATTACGGCCAGAATTATGGATACGGGTACGGAAATGTAGATAGACGAGATAACCACCGATATCGAGAAAATTATCATGACCGTCAGGACGATACATGGCGTAACAATGACTCTTCGTACTCTGGGTCGAGGAATATAGGTATCAGGGGGAGAAATAATACGAATGCGGTTCCTTGCGGGGGAACAGAAGAGCGAACAGGGACGGCGGCTATAGCGTTGTCGGGTGGAAGTAGCACCGCGCGGAAATCGAACGGACAGCCGCGAGTGCAAAGCATGGGAGTTAATGAAACGGACGAGCATTTAAACTAAGAATCGGTGCGATGAGACCGGGTCCAACGTCGTACCGGAATGAGAATCTCGTGGAAGAATTGACCGAAGAGATAATGGGCGAGAAGGACTCACAACTAACGGGAAAAGTAGATAGGGTAACCGAGTGTCCGCATATCTGGGCGACCGTGGCGGGAGTAGAAAAAGTTAAAATTTTGGTGGATTCCGGGAGTCACATTTCCGCAATTTCCGAAAATTTTTACAAGAAAATGAAAGCGGTGAGCAAACTTAGAGAATTGCCGGTTATAAATTTAATTATTTCGACAGCGATTGGTAAGAAATCCACGGCTATAAGGCAGCAGGCGTTTATTCCGATACAGATAGAGGAGCTGGAAATGGAAAATATTTTCTTGGTTGTCCCCGAATTGGCCTCGGAGATGATAGTAGGGCATGATTGGTTAATACAAAATAAGGTCGTAATAGATTATTCTCAAGGCAAGATAATAATATTAGGAAAGGAAGTAAACGAAAAGTTCGTGATATTCGAGCGAGGCAACTCCAAGGCCATAGAGAAGGTAGGAAAACAGAACGCGACGCAGGTATATGTGGTAGAAATTCAAGATTTAAAAGAGGAAGGCGGAAATGAAAAAATTGAGATTAGAGAAAATGTCGGAAAAAACGTAGAAATCGAGGAAAGGGAGGACGCGAGGAAAGAACGCGGGATCGCCGGGGATAAGGAAATAACGCTCCGCGGTAATAATGATGAAATAGAAAACAACCACGAGAACTGCACGGAAAAAGCAAAAGATAATAAACCGATTGGATAATGAGTGTATTGCCGGAAAAAAGAAGTTACGATGTTAAGTCAATCGCAATTGAATAGCCGCCAGAAGCTTTTAGAGAAATATGACAGATTGTTCTCGGATAAACCCGGATATGCGAAAGGATATCAACACGAGATAGTCCTTACAAAAAAAAACAGCGAATCCACCATAATTATCCAATCCCGTATGCGTTGCGTGAATCCGCTCGGGAAACAATAAACCAAATGTTAGAAAGCGGGATAATAGAACGAAGTGTTAGCCCTTATTGTAATCCCTTGCGGTTGATAAAGAAAGATAATGGGGAAATAAGAATTTGTCTAGATGCGCGATATTTGAATGAGGTCATAGAAAACGGTCATAGAGGCACCACCGTTAATAAACGAGTTGTTACAAAAATATCATGGAGCGAAATGGTTCTCGAAATTAGATTTAACGCAGGGATATTGGCAGATCGCATTAAAGGCAAATTCGCGACTCTTTACGGCCTTCTTATTCGAGGGTAAGACCTATCATTTCTGTCGAATTCCTTTCGGGTTAAAAACAGCGGGCAGTGGATTCATGAGGGCATTGAGTTACGCGTTAGGAGAGCAGTTCAACCGGTACATCTCGTGTTATATCGATGACATCCTAATCGGCACCGAAACATTTGAAAAACACCTCGAGATCCTACAACGAATATTCGAGCGTTTGATCGAGTACAATTTCACCCTAAAACTGTCTAAATGTATTCTGTTTGGAAAAAGCGTGTCCTTCTTGGGATACAATATTTCGGCAGAGGGCATTTCTCCTCAACAAACTAAATTAGAAGCCATAACTAACTTCGAAGAACCCAAAAACATAAAACAGTTACAAAGAATCTTAGGGATGTGTAATTATTATAGGCAATTTAATGCAAGGCATAGCCATTCAGTGAACATACTTAGAAATTTATTAGAAAAAAATGCACAATGGGAGTGGACTCATAAACATACGGCAGCATTTGAGGTAATAAAGCGGGATTTAAACGCCTACGTAATCCTAAAACACGTAATTCCTTCGGAACCTTTCCGGCTACAGACCGACGCGAGTGAGCACGGAATCGCCGGCATACTATATCGGAAGAATCACAAAGGGGAGCATAATGTCATACAAATAGTAAGCCGATGTTTGACACGCGCGGAAAAGAAATATACCACGACCGAAAAAGAATTGCTAGCTATCATATATTCTATTGAAAAATGCCGGACGTATTTGATAGGAAAACCCTTCAAAGTAATAACGGATCATAAATGTCTGACGTTCCTGCAATCTGCATATTTCGCGAGTGCCCGGATGATGAGATGGATGTTGCTATTACAGCAATACACATTCTCAATCTCTTATTGTCGCGGTACCGATAATCAAGTCGCGGATTTTTTCAGCAGAAATCCCGAGGGCCGATTTGTAGAAGGGGACCCTACCAAAGTTATGATTTCATCAATGCAACAGGGATTTTCCCCGATAAACTAAAGGGAAACGTTGGTATTCATACGTGATCTGTTTAAGTACGACGCCAGTTTTGCCAAAAATCTCCGCGAGATAGGGAAGTGGCAGTCGTCTGATACGAGAATCCAACGATATAAAGAAGCATCAGAGAAAGTAGGGATAGGGAGCGGATTTCAGGAATACGAAGAGATAATGTTTCACCGAGAAAAGGGAGGAAAGGCGTGGAAGATCATTATACCCAGTAGTATGCAGCGGGGGTTAATCGAGGCAATTCATGATAGGTTAGGACACCCGGGAGTCTATAAGACGGTAGCATATTTGAAGCAATTTTATTACTGGAGGGGCATGGCAGCACAGGTAAAAAAATTCGTGAAGTGTTGCGATTTATGTCAGCGTGTCAAATATATAACCGTTGCGATGGAAGGGGAGTACAATTTTGTGAGGGCAGAAAAACCGAACGAACTAATAACTATATCGATTTTTACGGCCCTCTGCCTACGAGCCGCGGAGGGGTTCAATATTTGCTAGTTATGGTGGATGCATTCACTAAGTACGTGTCGCTATATCCAATAAAAAAAGCGACAACGCAAATCAGCCTAAATAGAATTATAGACACATTCATACCGAAATTTGGGAAACCGCAAAAAATATTGTCAGACCATGGTACTCAGTTTACGTCTACGAAATGGAAGAGTAGCCTAGAAACCAAAGGAATTAAGATACTTTATAGCTCAATTCGGCACCCGCAGTCGAATCCGACGGAGCGCGTCATGAGGGAAATCGGTCGATTGTTTAGGACATTATGTGCCGATAAGCACACTAATTGTAAGTGGGGGATGTATGTAGCGCAGGTAGAAGCACTATTAAATTCAACGGCGCATAGAAGCACGGGGATGACTCCATATGAATTACAATGGGGAAAACCGGTAGACGACCAAATAAGGAAACTGGTAACTTTTCCAAATGATGAGAAAGTACCAAGGGAAATTATGATAGAAAAAGCTCGACAAAATTTGACAAAGAACTTTAAATTCCGAAAGAAAAATCAAAAGCGTGTATCAAGAGTAATATTAGAAGTGGGAGACCTCGTATTAGTGCGTGTTAAGAGATTATCTAGCGCCATCGAAAAGGTTATCGGAAAATTCTTCCACCTATATGAGGGCCCCTATAAAATACGAAGAATCGTGGGTGAAAATGCCTTTTCTCTAGTAGACCACGCGAATGATCAAATCCGAATCGGGGTATACAATCGTCTCAATCTCCGGAAGTATTATCAGAACCAACAGCTAGTAAAGAAAAACCAGACCATGGAAGGGTCCACAAAAAAGACGTCGATTCAGGTGCTCCTTGAGCGTTCCACCAAAATGCATGTAAAGGTAATAGGAAAATGTCCGAGTAGAATGTACTAATGACTGATAATATTCGTATCATAATGTCAAAATAGGTGAGGGATAAGTATAGAAAAGCGTAAAACAGGACTAACACAACCTGTGCGAATGACTAATTGTAATGTTCGTAAAAGGGAAGGTGAGAGTGTCTGGATCCGTGGGATCAAAAGTGTGCAAAGAACTGAATAAGACAAGGAAGGACGACTAAACGATTTTATGTTCTCCATACGATGTACAACATAAAAGGGGGAGAATTGTGAGATATGGATACCAAATCCCCTCTTCCGATAGTAAGGAAGGCGGGGAGGACCGCGAGTGCGCAGGTCCCGATGATCCACGTGGCAAGATCGAAGAAGCGATCCAGCGGATCGCTCTCTTTCGTTCTCACGGCCGGCCGAGTAGGATCTACTTTCCTGAGATTCGGACACAAGGTATCCTCCAGGAGTAGGGGACACGCGCTTGCTCTGTGCGAAGACGTACCCGACGAGGGACTGGAAAAGATCCGGGTTATAATCTTATATGACTCCGAAGAAGCGAGAAATATAATGCACGACAGCGGCCGTTGGGAGCAGGAGAAAGAGCCACCGAGGGAGAAGCGAAGAAGCCAATAGATGAGTACACTTGGACTCCCTCCATTCACTGAATAATCCTTGGTTACGAACACGCGTGAATGTTAATCTTATTATATTAAAAACGAGATTAGTCCGTAGATTAGAGATTGCGAGCGATTATATTGTTGTAAATCTATTGACCATTTAGTCCGTAGGTGTTCCGGAACCGCGTAGCTAAATGATGAGATTTTTCTTTTAATATTCTTTATATATTCGAATCTTCTAACATTTTTCCTAAATTAAATTATATGACGAGTTTGTGAGTTATACTCTTAAAAGAATTCGTGTTCTTCCAGACGAGTCTCGCGCGTTAAGACAACCCGAGCGAGCGGACAAACAAAGTTCTGTAGCGGGATCGTGTATCTTGTAATAAATGTAAACGTCTCGACATATTTGAAAGTCAACGATCGTCTAGCCTCTTATTCTGAAATCCATGTCCTTCTAAAGGTTGTAGTGGACCGAAGTCTTGGGCAGAACAATGATCCCAGATAACGTCTACTTACAACATACTATGGCGGCTTGCGATACTTTAAGTGATTCCATGTCTACTTTCTCATCCTCATCAAGTACACGACATATTTCATCGCCAACAACTGCATTGCATATTAAAATACAACCAGATAATGATGAAATTTGGACAAATTTTCGCATACCTCGGGACAATGTGGAATCTTCAGTGCTTAAAGAATTAGAAGCAGGAAATCACAGCAATTATGTAATACATGCTGTTGTTAATCGTATAGTATCTGAAATAAGGAATCTGCAAGAATTTATTCCATCCAAAGCTTTCAAAATAATAGCTAATAAGGTCGTTGAAAAATATTCTCAAACATTCAAGGATATGCATGAAGATGGTAAATGTTTCGGAGATGGAAGCCATACATTATTTTTAAAACTTCGTGATAGAAATTGCTATCTTAACAGACCACACATGAAAAGATCTTTAAGTCGAAGTTTAAATATACCATTGAAGAAACAACGAAAAGTTTTATCTGCCAAAGCTGGATGCAGCAATTGGCAACCTGATAATTATGTTGAATCAGAAACAGAAGATACAATAGAAGACAAAACTGAATTTCTACGGCAAGTAATCCTTCAAGATGCTCTAGAAAATGATCCTAACACTGAAAAGAAAATTTATTCATACCTTGAAGTAACGTATCCTGCACAAAGATTATTTCTTAATAACTAAAAACTATGATATTGATCCGCCAGCAAATATTAAATTGAAGGGTGAATTAATCGACACCACTGGCAACAGGAAAACTTTCTTTATTCGCACAACGTTTCGGCCATGGGTTTTGGCCCTTATCAAGTGCAATCAATTCAAACGGCGCATAGCATGTGGTTAAATGCCATCGGGCACCACTGTATAAACAAAAAGACGTAGGGTAACGGTTTTATACGAAGGTTGTCTTACAAGTTTGATTCTCATTGGACTTACAATTAAAATACTAAATAAATAATTACAAATTAACACGTGCGGATGAATAAATTAACTAAATAAATAAGGAACTGATAAAAGAATAAACAGGCTATTTCGTTACGTACATTTAAATTAGTAAAGCGCGGAGCTTGTCTCACTCTGAGCAGTTGTCATCCTAGCGCTGTGGAAATATGACTAAAATTAAGTAGGTCGTCGCTATGTCAGGGAACCTATAGTTCAGCGCGTTTCAAAATAATATAATAAATATAACGCTAATAATCATAGGGCTACCGAAAATCTGTTCATAGAACTGTCCATTAAAGCTAAAACTAGTTGATGATAATATAAGTTCAATAGCGTATAAAAATTGTTGTAAGATAAAAAAGGTTTTTTGAGAAATCTCTTGCCATCTTTTCTACCAAAGGTCCATAAAACGGGCTTACCGTTGAGAATCATAGTATCCTCGTTGGGAAGCCCGATATATAAAATGGCCAGATTCTTACATGAGATTTTAGAAACGTCAGTTATTAAACCGAGATCTCACATTAAGGACAGTTGGGCATTCACAAAGCTGATTCAAAATAGAAGGATCGAACGAGAAGAGATCCTCCTCTCCTTGGATGTCACTGCCCTCTTTAATAATATCCCGAAGGAGCTGGTTATTAAAGCAATTGAAAAAAGATGGCAAGAGATTTCTCAAAAAACCTTTTTTAACTTACAACAATTTTTATACGCTATTGAACTTATATTATCATCAACTAGTTTTAGCTTTAATGGACAGTTCTATGAACAGATTTTCGGTAGCCCTATGGGATCCCCGTTGTCGCCAATCTTGGCTGACTTACAATTAGTAATGGACGACTTGGAGACATTTTGTTTGGAACAACTGGAGTTTGAAGTTAACACATATTACAGATACGTGGATGATGTGTTCACAATAATACCTAATAACAAGATAGACGACATACTAAAAGTTTTTAACAGTTATCATCCACGACTTAAATTTACACACGAAATAGAGAAAGACTGCAAAATAAATTTTCTGGACGTTTCTGTAATTAGACGCAACAACACTTTAGTGACAAATTGGTTCCGTAAAGCTACCTTCTCGGGAAGATACATTAACTATTTCTCAAACCACCCACACAAATATAAGACTAACATTATTAATAACCTGACTGACCGAGCGGTCTTACTCTCTGACGACAGTTTCCATGACGCAAATTTAAAACTTGTAAAAGAAATATTGACTAATAATTGCTTCCCAACGCATGTCATAGACAAACATATAAAGTGCAGACTGAAACAATTAAGAAACCAAAAGGACAATCAAACTAAAGAAACTCCGTTTGACCCCAGACAAGTTGTCACCATACCTTACATAAAACACTTAAGTGATAATATTAGTCGCACATTTAAGAAATGTAGCATTCAGATAATCTTCACTGTCCCCAAAAAACTTAATAATATAATAAAAAAAGGGAAAGACAGACTACCCAACAAGAAACAAACTGAATTGATCTACAAAATCAATTGCGTTGATTGTGATGCGTGCTATATAGGACAAACTAAGCGACACCTTGATACCCGAATTAAAGAACACCTCAGCGACATAAAGAAACATGACAATGACCACTCAGTGGTCAGCAAACACCGCACCACACTTGGGCACGAATTTCAGTGGTCCTACCCCCAAATACTTCATAAAGAGAGAAAAAGAAAAAGAGAGGTTGCTGAACTGTTCTTTATAAAAAGACACAGCTCTACGATCAATTACCAAAGGGATACCGAAAGTTTGCCAGGGGTATACGAAAAAATCATTGACATCACCTAGGACGCGATTTATATGTTTACCTATTTATTTTTAATCGGAGCGTTATATTTATTATATTATTTTGAAACGCGCTGAACTATAGGTTCCCTGACATAGCGATGACCTACTTAATTTTAGTCATATTTCCACAGCGCTAGGATGACAACTGCTCAGAGTGAGACAAGCTCCGCGCTTTACTAATTTAAATGTACGTAACGAAATAGCCTGTTTATTCTTTTATCAGTTCCTTATTTATTTAGTTAATTTATTCATCCGCACGTGTTAATTTGTAATTATTTATTTAGTATTTTAATTGTAAGTCCAATGAGAATCAAACTTGTAAGACAACCTTCGTATAAAACCGTTACCCTACGTCTTTTTGTTTATACAGTGGTGCCCGATGGCATTTAACCACATGCTATGCGCCGTTTGAATTGATTGAACTTGATAAGGGCCAAAACCCATGGCCGAAACGTTGTGCGAATAAAGGAAGTTTTCCTGTTGCCAGTGGTGTCGATTAATTCACCCTTCAATTTCTTAATAACGTCCATAAGCCGCCTTCAATTCAAGATATTAAAACTTCATGGCCAATACTTTTAAAGAAAATGTATACATTCTGACATTACCACAAATTAATGGGACACTCTATAAGTACACTGAAAGACCAAATGTTAAAGAAAACAGGAAAAATACTTAACTATGGACGTTTTAAAAAGTATAAAGAAATTACTGATTCAACTGAGATAACAGAGCTCAAATTAATCCAAATTATTATGAAACATTTTAAAGAGGACTTCCATGTATTATTTAAAATATATCCTGTAAGTCTCATTTAAATATATGTTATTATCTTTGTCTTATACGATTTTATAATTGTAACTTATTTTAAAGGAAGGGACAACCTTGAAAGAAATTGAAGCACCTATTGCTGCATCATGCATTATAATCATAGGTAATATATTATTTTATAATTTTCGATTCAAAATTATTTTAATTATCATATTTGTTGTGTATACTAGGTTGTGTGTTACAGATGATACGGAACATCGGATGTTTTATTTATTCATAGAAGCAATTCAGATTGAAAGAACGTATTGTTTTTACGAAGCTCTGGAAATGTTGATGTCTATGTACTATATCCTCAACATGGAATATCCTACACAATGTGCCTGCAGTTTGGAATTTATACAAAAGTATTTTTTAAATATTCATCCAGTCTCCGGTACAAAATCACGGAAGACTGCAACCAAATACAAAGTACTTTCACTTTTTAACAAATTAAGGGACATTGAAGAAAGTGATGTAGACAAAGAAAATATTACATCAAATTTATAAGTATGCTATAACTAATATTGTATGATGTAAGTATGATATTTTTCTCTCTTTTTTTTAATATATATGTTCCTCTTCTATATATACAGGGTGAGTTATAACATTTGTACCAGAGCTCGTGAGAAGGTAGAACGGATCGAGATGAACAGAAAAGGGTAATTATTTAGATTAGCACACCCACCTCCAATAACCTTGGGCTGGACATATATTATAGAGGTCACCCTCCTGAGTAACCCTCAGAAGGATTTAGCCGGCGCTCGTTGTTTATTAAAAAGTTATTAAAAAAACAATGTCAACCAATTATATGTAATTTTCAGACACAAATATTAAAAATTTTGAAAAATGTTTCAAACAAAAGTTGTAGATCTCTTTAAAATATACATTTTATGTCCTATTCATTTTTACTATACGAGTGACAGTTTTCGATA